GGGGGGGGGGGGCGGAAGCCGTGGAGCCGCCCGCGGCCAATAAAGCGGCGCGCCGACGACGTAGCGTATGTCGAAGGGCTTCTGGAGGGCACACCAAGCAAACGCCACTGATGCGTGTGGCCGGCAGGGATGGCGTTCCAAGACAAACTGAGCCTTTACGGCGTTGGGAATAGCCTGGGAGCGTAGAGCTTTGCTTCGCCCTATCCTTGCGGCTGCGCCAGGCCAGGCACACACACGCCTAGCAAATCTGATCGAGTTTTCTCTGCTCGGCCCAATTCATTACCGTGGGCCAGTGGCTGAGTGCGCCCGCCGCGGAACCGCCGGGGAAAGGGAGGGACCCCTGGGTCGCCCGCCGGGTCAAGCGATCGAGCAGCGGTCGTGCACGCGCTGGCTGGCTGGCTGGCTCTTTGGGACAGGACCCTCCAGAACCATGGAGACCAGCGAGGGGCCATGCCGCTGTCGTCGGGTGTTTTTTTTGTTTTTTTCCTCTGATGTGCAGCCCGCGCGCGGCTCAGGGACTCTGGACGGGACGACAGCGACAAGCAAGCAGGCAGGCAGGCTACGGGATCAGCAAAGTTGCCTTCCCCCAGTGATGTGCGCTGGTGGAGCAGAGCAATCAACCTGAAATCTCTCTCTCCCAGACGCTCCATAAATGGCCCCCAGCCCATGGCGTTTGAGACGCTGCGATAGGCCGCGATACTCAATTGACTTTTGACTGGCATGGCGGTTGTCGGTTGCGCGAGCGAGGGGGGGAGGGAGCAAGAGGCGGCAGGCGGGTTGGCCGTGGCTCCCCCTCCCCCGGCACTTCTGTCCGAGTCCAGTCGCCAAAGCCACCTTTTGGGACTGGAAAAGTAGTAGCAATTCCGAAATGCAGACGGACAAGCTCTGATGCAATTCTGGAGTGATAGACCGACGTCCGGGGGTGGCTTGCCCGGAGGAACTGGCTGCTGGGTGTGCGTGGGGCTTCAGACTGGCCAATGGGCTCTGGTCTGCAGCGTCATTACGAGGTCCAAGTACCATCGTGTGGGTGGGGCCGGCACACCGAGGTACCGGTACAAAGAACCACACGTTCTGAAGCGTCTTCAGAATGCAATGTTTTGGCTTGGGGGATTTTACGGAAAGCAATCACCATGCCAAAAGGCGATATCGGTGTTATCCTCGTTGCTAGCAGGGACTCGCAGCCCTCCAGGGTGGGCATGTATCGCTACCAGCCCAGCATCGGCACCCTCGTCTTTCAGCAGGCGGAGCCAAAGGGCAGGTTGGCTTGTGGGAGCCTTAGATTGTGCCCTTCTGCTGCCGGAATTTGACGTACGGAATCACGTCAGATGGGTGCAAAATGGTCCCGAAAATTTGGTGTGCGAGAAATCGAACCACCTAGAATAGGCCGTCGCCTGCAACGCCCGGCCAACACCCCCAGAGCTGAGGGTTTGTTTCGTCATAAACTCGACAAATTCAACCCTCCAAGCGGCCGCCACCCCCCCTGGCTAGCAGGCTGCGGCCAAACACACACAGGCAACACACGTTACATATTATCCCCCTATGCATGCAATTATTCGGCCGGCACTTCTCGAGATGCAGCAACACTGACATCACGAGAAGCCACCGGGGCCGTCAGCAAGCTGCCAACAACTTGTCCGGGGCGGCAAGGGAGGGAGCATGTATGATAATTGAAAGACCCAAAGGCCCAATGCTTGCCTCCTTTACACAGCCAGCCCCTTGCCTTGGCCTGTCTCAGCGGGTGGCACCCATGACGAAGGTCGGCCAGCAACGTGCGCTGAGCCATGCGGCAAAATAGTCAACTACGTAGTTAACGACGTAGTTATAAATGCTGCCTCTCCCGATGCGAACGCCAAGACCAGCAGCAGCATGAGCAACAAAGCCTCTTCTCATCCCTCCACGCTGCATGACGTCTTGGGGACATTCCTTGCCGCCCTCCCAACCACCCCTCTCAGGACGCGGGCGATGACATGGTTCATGTGGGATTCTGAATTGGGCCATCGTGCCGCCTTGGAGCTGCGGGCTGACCGTCTCGCGACTGCGTGCAATAACAGTAGGTAACGGGCAGAGGGGCATTGGCACACATATCAGCGTTCCTTCCCAAACCGGCCAAGACACCCCACGGCGAGAAAGGACGGTCAGGCCCACTTGCTTTGCAGGGCCGGAGCTCAAGCTCCTGTCCGTGAGTGCCGTCTGGGTTCCATGGCCAGTGCTCGCTCATCTTGTTTTTGTCGGGGAGTTGCTATTTTTTGTGACCTTTTCTCCACACGGATGCAAGAGAAGATATACGTCGTAATGCAAGCATCGTGATTGTGGGTATTTACCCATTTTCTATTCTACGCCCATCCTCGGGGGAGGAAAAAAAAAACCGTTGCTTTCGGCCGAAATCTTTTTAACATTGCGGGAACGAAGAAAAACGGCTGCACGGCGGCATCCAAGGCTTGAGCTTAGCTCGACCTCGCCCCAAAGCTGAATTGTGTTCATCTGCGAAAGCAAGTGCCCGAGGTACTGCCTAGGTACTGGCACCGGAGCCTGGGCTGGAGCCCGGTTCGAAACCACTCCCTCGCGCTCTGGCTTCCCATGAGTGGGTCGGCGTTCGTACCAAAAAGGCAGAAAGATGGATGTCGGCTTTCGAACCCGCGACGACAGGGTGGCGGACGGCTGGGCAGAGAGAGCTGGAGCGGCACCACTGTGCAGGCACAGGCACCTGCACAGACACCTGAGCCTGTCACAGTCTGGTGGAGGCGCTAATGATTCGCCAATTAGGGCACCATCAGCTGGCGTTTAAGCGGGGATGCGCCTTATTTCCGGCTCCACTCCCGCCGCCCCCGGTTCACAGTGAAGACCTGGAGTGCTTCCAAAAAGCGCAGGCGGCCAAAACTGAGCTCGAAAACGTAAATCCACACGAGCAAGAAATGGGGAAGGTTGCGATAATGCGAGAAAAGAAAGTAAAATATTGCGCAAAAAAAAAAAAAGGGATAAGAAAGGCCTTTGCACAGCCGCAGTGCAGTCCTCGTTACGGTGTCGTCGGTTCGAATGTGGGCGTTGCATTGGGAGCCGTCACCCAGCCCAGCCTTGCGACATGACAGGGCGCCCATTCTCGTACAAGGTGGGTGTCGTTCCTCGACTATCGGCTGCCAGGCCTGCTGCTTGCTTGTTTGATATCCGCGACGCCCGCCCGCGAGCCGACCCCCATCAGATACTCCATCAGATACGGTCGGGCCCGGTCTGTCCGGCGGGCTAGCACTGCTCTTGTCACTCTTGACAGAAATCCGCAGGCTTTTCCCCTCCCATCTCTCTCTCCATACGAAGCAGCAGAAAGCACCAAATGACGGCTTCATCTTGGCGCCATATGCACCATGCCCTTTTCTGACGCCGGGTTACACCCACCCCCTCCACTCTTTTTTTCTTTCTTTCTGTCATTCTCTCACGGCGGCCGAGGACAAGGTTCTCGATGCTACTCTGCGAAATCGGTCGTCGCGAGCCCAGACGCGCCCAAGAGGCTGCCCATCACTGCCTCTTGAGGACGGACATGGGGAGGCCCGACATGCGGTCTGGACGCAGCCCGTAGGGACTCTTCTCTGCATGTCACGGTCACGGCGAATGGAGCGGCGTGGTTGATGGCTGGAAGCCTGTCCTCCTCTCTGCCGGCCCCTCTTTCCCCTCCACCACTCCCAGGTCGAGGTTGGCCTCTGCCCTGCCCTGCCCTCCGGCCTTATGCCGCAGGCGCCGACATTTGACGGCGGGCCGCTCACGGTTGCTAGGCACGAGGGGTGGGTGTGAGAGGGCACCGACGGGTGCTGGTTCGCGCAGTAGCCCCGAGCCGGCGCCGCTCCTGCTTCCCTGCCATCCTGTGAGCTCCTGCATGGCGCCATCCCCGATACCGCCTCGTTCGGATTTGCCCATCACGCCTCTTTTCGGCACTGCATCTCCTGGGGGTGGGAGGGGCTCCGCACGCACGCAGGTTGGCCTGCCATCCCTTCTTTCGGCCACATACTTTCCCCTTCGCTATCCGGATATGGACACATGCACACATACACACCCCCTTGCCTCTCTGGCCTGGCTCTCGGACAGAGGGCTATCAAAGGGCCGAAGGCAGACGCACCAAAAAGAGGGGAAC